AGTTGGTTTAACCTTTTTAGAATATATTTAACTTAACCTCTCATAATATGAAAACTATACAAATTGATCACAATGGTTGCAAATAGTGGCATATGGAAATGAAAATAAAAAACTGATAGTAATATCTTATAATATCCCTTACAACTACCAAAAAATAATAGAAAAGATTTAGACTATAAAAATGACTTAGGAGTGTTGCATATTTACATATGAAGAAGACGATAAAAAAATACACAAAATAGTCAATAACACCCAAGGTTATTTTTAGTGATTGGGTTTTACACTCTTATTCGAACCTAATTGTGTTGAATTTAGATCAAATATATACAAATTGAATTGATGTAGTTTACGGTGAAATGTTCTATATCTTTCTCTTAAACTATATTTTTACATTTTTTTTAAATTTTTGGTAAGACTGATAGTGCTTTACTTTTACTTTTATCAAACATAAAAAATTTAAATAAAAATTTTCACTTTGAGGGACCGATAGGACTTTGCTTTTGATTTAGTGATTTCATAATTTAGGTTTCAGTTCTAGCACATTATTGATTTTTTAAATCCATAACTAATGAATATCCCTTTTTTTATTTTCTATATAGTTTGTCATTTTTGTTAGCATCACTAATTTGAAGGCTGAAATGTTATAAATTACCGTTTTACTTCTAATAAGACTTATGATGTTTCATCTATATTTGACCTCTCATGCATAAACTTCAAACCAAATTCCTATATTATGGAGCTACTTGTTACATTTTAAATTCAAAAGGCATGAAGGGTATTTAATAATTAAAAATATCCAAAATTCTGTAAAAAAAAAAAAAAGAATATGGAGTTCGAAACATTTTGATTTGATTATCCTCAAAACCATTAGCACTCTTTTCGCCTTCCTCTGTTTTTCATCTTGTGTTCATTAACTTTGAGGTATCCAAAACTTCAAATGAAGCGTTGAACTCAGATGCCATACTCCTTTTTTTTTTATATAGTAGAAAAGGGATGAAATTTAGGAAGTGAGAAGAATAGAAAAAATTTAAATCATATATCTTGAATTCGTGACTAAATCCTCGACAGATGCTACACCACTTACTAGTACTAATGCAGTGCTATATCCACTAGGGGCATGACCGAGCCAACGGATATTAGTGCAAGTAGAAAGGGCTTGCATCCTTTAATCATGAATTATCGGGTTCGAAATTTATGGAAATGAAAAAAATAACGTTGGGAGAGCTTCCCTGCAAGGGTTTCGACCCGATTCGAATAGAATTAATCGCAAATCGTAAAACGGATACGGACACCTGTAAGTTATACCAAAAAAAAAATATATCCATTGAGGGCATGGCCGAGTAAGATCAACTTGACCCCTGTTAAAGTTGTTGTGGTGGTCCCGTGGGCAATTGCTTGGAAGATGAGTCCCCTGAACTCTATTTAGTCACCCTGGTTAGAGATGGCCCAGCAAAATCTCTTGGAAGATGCGTCCCGTGAACCATATTTGTCATCAGCTGGCCGCCCTCGGCAGAGAGATGCCCCAGTACCATCTAGCAATTAGTCTTATAGTACATAATGAAATTTCCACTTTCTACCTGGCAGTGGATAGAAAGAACTTGCAGTCTTGCATGGGGCCTCTAAGGATAGAAAAATCAAATCATACGATTAGCAGCAACTTTCACGTTTCAAACGCACGAACACTTGTGTGTACGAAAATATATAGAACTATATGAGTTTTACAGAATTTACAGTAGACCATATTCAATTGCGAAAACATGCTAGTTCAAAAAAACCTACAATCCAAATTGTTTATTCGCATCAAAATTTTAAGAGATAAATGGACAAGCTATTCTTGGATCACTTTGTGGATTTGAAAACTTAATACTTCTAGCTATTTTTGGTTTACGTTTTTCTTTTCTTTTATTTACTTTATTTAAAAGCTGAAGATCATGAAAAATATCCTAAAAGATAAATGATATTTTTTTAATGGGTAAAAAACAAAAAAGCCTCGTGTGACGAGCCTAATACACAGAAAAGCCCCATATGGTTTCAAAATATACAATACGACACCTCATGCTTTGAACTAAATTATAAAGGTGATGGAATCCGTTAAACTTAACGGAAATGACTTATTGGAACCTAAAAAAAATTTTTATGCCTAATTTTTATCAAATATACCTATTCTACCTCTTAACCCTTAATTCTCTCTACTTAGAGAATAAAACAAATGATTGTTTTGAACTGTCTTCTGCTTAATTATATCAGTGCATTTTGGTCATTTCGTCCATTTCCGTTAAGTTTAACGGATTCCGTCACCTTTACAATTTAATTCAAAGCATGAGGGGTCGTGTTATATATTTTGAAACCATGGGGGACTTTTTTGTATTTTAGGTTAACCACAGGAGACTTTTTTATTTTTTACCCTTTTTTAATTAATTTGTGAATCTCTATACAATATTCCCAATTTATTTTGACCGATGATTCTAGCACTACTTAGCTTCTAGCACTCTACTTTTACTCTTTTTTTTTTTCTTTTAGAAACCCGTAATTTAGATTCTCTAAGTGGTCAGATGCCAAAACTAACTTGAAATATATCATTTCCTAAATAGAAATTTAAGCTCATAGACATCCCATAGCCTCGTCTGATAGACTAAGTCTTCAATAATTCTTTTCCATCCGTACGAGTAGCATATGGGTTGGAAATCTTTCATTTTGCAACCTAGAATTGTAACAAAAATATTTGTAAAGGAATAATTAATGTTTGTTGACTTCTATTTGTTTTCTTTTATGGAACTCATTTCAGGCATTTGATAGACAATAAGGCCGCTTTAAATCGTTCGATATTGATGGTGGGAATACTCCCAAGTCGGCAACTTTTTTTTTTTTTTTTTTCTTTTTTGTGGCTATCACTTGGAAGAGCTTTTTTTTCATTTTTTTTTTTGGAAATGGTATCTTTGTTTTTGTTTTTTTTCCTTTTTTTTCGTAATTTTTAAGATTTTTTTTCAAGTCTTCATTTATCAAGCTTTATAGCTATTTGCATGCATTTTGTCATCCATGCATGGAGATCAATAATCACGAAATTTTGTCATCCAGCATGATTTGACATGCCCGCCATAAACTTTTATAGTCTCTTCGTTAAAAGCAAAAATTAGTTTTGTGGTTTGTTCTGTATGTCTAATTAAGAGAGTAAATTTTGTCTTGGAACTGCTTAAGATAAAACATTTTTGCATGGTGGCGCACTGTCACCTTGCTACCTACCTTACATTTTTAATACCTTTGCAAATTGAAAATCAACACAAGCAAATTTATTAGATTTCTCTTTGCTCAAAAGCTACTTTTTTTTATGACATCTAATTCATACTGAATTTATCATTTATACACATACAATAATATTTAATGTATACTCCCTCTCATAGCATTTAGACACTTTTAAATTATTTTTTTCCAAGAAAAAAACTTGAAACTCCTTTTGAAGAAGGTTGAGATTTCCTAAATTATCAGTTAGCATTTTTTTCTTTTTCTTTTACTTATCACTTCACGTTTTTTCTTTGCCTCGCGACTGCCCCGCGCCGCGCCGGGGGGGAGGAGAAACAAAATTATCAGCTAACTTGGCAGAGGTAGTTCAAGATAACGGAGCATAGTATTCTACTTGAATGGGTGACAGCTGCCTCGACATCATCATGCATGTCCTTTTGGATTCACATAGCCAATCAAACCTTGTCGTTTTTTACTATCCATTTTTTATGACAGCCACATAAATTTTTGGATTAATCACATTTTATCCCCTTAAAAAATATCTCATTTCTCAATTTACCCCCTAACCTTTAATTTTGCTCACTTAACCCCCTTTAGGACAAAATTGCCCTTGCATTATTTTGACTTTTCATTTACCTTGTTTTCCTTTCTTTTATTTCTTTTTCTCTTTCTTCTTTATTTAATTCTTCCTCTTTCCCACAAAAATCTTCACCTTAATGATTGAAATTAAAAAAGAGGAATTGCAGAGATTTATCTTCTCCTTAAATGATTAAAAAAAATATTCAAACCACTTTCCTAAAATACAATTTTTTTAGCCTTTCAATTCTTTTAATTTTGGGTTTTCCTCTTTCCTTTCTAGTTTCTCATTTTATTCTCAAGAAAATATCATAAGATGAAATTGTTTTCCTTTCTTTTATTTCTTTTTCTCTTTCTTCTGTCTTTCATTCTTTCCAATAGAAATTTCATTTCAACGAAAATTTTTGTTTTGAGGTTGTAATTGCATATTTCTGGGTGAAGGTTTAAAAGTCATCAAAAACTAATTTTGATTTTTTGTATGATGCCACGTGTCACAAATTTCAATTGATGATTATTAATCAGGTCACAATTTCATCTTAAGATATTTTCTTTGGAATAAAATGAGAAACTAGAAAGGAAAGAGGAAAATCCAAAATTAAAAGAATTGAAAGGCTAAAAAAAATGTATTTTAGGAAAGTGATTTGAATATTTTTTTAATCATTTAAGAAGAAGATAGATCTCTGCAATTCCTCTTTTTTAATTTCAATCATTAAAGTGAAGATTTTTGTGGGAAAGAGAAAATGAAATAAAAGAAAGGAAAACAAGGTAAATGAAAAGTCAAAATAATGCAAGGGCAATTTTGTCCTAAAGGGGGTTAAGTGAGCAAAATTAAAGGTTATGGGGTAAACTGAAAAATGGGGTATTCTTTAAGGGGATAAAATGTGATTAACCCTAAATTTTTTATAGAGCGACAACGTATGCATTAATAACTCGAGATGAATAGTATATATATGAAATTTGAAATTTAAATTAAAATAGCGAGACTTACATCTAAAACCATTAATATAATTAATGTAAGAAAAATTAATCTTAGAAAAATATTATTTGGCTTGGTTTTTTTTTTTTTTTTGTTAACCACGCTGCTATTATTATTTTAATAGTATAATTTTTATTTATTGGATTATATTATGAAACAAATGATAGGACCGTAAATAACAAAAAGTTGGAGTGTAAAACACATTTTCCTTAATCCTTGTACATTTTCGATGATTTTCATATAGTCTAATGTCTCCATGTCTCCAACCATTATATAAGCATCAGCACTCCTCGTTCTTTCTAATCATATCTGAATTGATTACTCAAATCTTCATCCATCTTCTGAAAACCCAGCCACCATGCCTTCTACTCTATCTCCCTCAGAAGATAAATATCTCAATGACCTTCTGCAACTCGCCCGTCCTTTCCTCCGCGGAGAGCTCGAAAACGTGGACAAAAACCTTCCTTATCTAGTCTCAGTCCTGCGCTCAGTTGGGGCAGGCGAGTGCTGGCACAAGAATGGAAGTTTTCTTGAACATCTGTTTGATATATATCGCATTCTCAAGCTGTGGAAAGCCCCTGATGCTGTTTGCCTTTGTGGGCTCTTTCACTCTGCTTATTCCAATTCCTATGTCAATCTTGCCATCTTTGATCCCTCCACCGGTCGGGACGTAGTTCGTTCCCACGTCCAAGAAGCTGTTGAGAGGCTAATCCACATGTTCTGCATTGTCCCTCGTCATCCTTTGATCCATGATGATCTTCTGTTTCATTATGATGATCAAGAATTGGACGAACACCTCAAGTTTTCGGAGATTTCTCTGAGGAATGCGAAGGAAAAAGGATTGTTTAACGAGGAGGAAAGTTGGAGAGTAAAACTCAGGTCTGTTCTGCCTGCTGATGGGGTAGTAGTGAAGCATATCAGAACAGGAGAAGAAGTTCCAGTTTCGCGAAGATTGGTGGCTGTGTTTCTCCTGATGACAATGGCAGACTTTTCAGACCAGCTGTTCGGTTTTCAGGATGTTTTGTTTGAGAATTCAAATGGCCATTTGGAATTCTCAGGCAATAATTTCTATGGTCTATGGCCAGGTAATGGCAAGCCTGGATTATGGCTGAATTCAATATCAAGAATGGGTGCACTGTACACCTTGATTGTGAGAGAAGAGGAGATTTTCCTTGAGCAAAGGAGAAGAAATAATGGAGGGGTTATTGTTTTAGCAGATGATAGAGATGAAGAGCTTGAGCTAGTAATCCCACCTGTATTTGAGAACTGCACAAGAGTTTTGGATGCAGAAGAGCAGAAAATTGGGAGGGAGTTGTATTGGGAGGCTGTTTTTGAAGGAGACAAGATCGGGTTGGAGAGAGCTGAGGAGCTGTTGATAAGGGCAATTGAGAAGAACCCTTTTGTTGGAGAGCCTCATGTGGTTTTGGGTCAGATTTACTTGAGCAAAGGGAGCTTTGAGGAGGGTGAAAAAGAGGCTCAAAAGGGGCTGAGAATGATTTTGGAGTGGGGAAGTCCTTGGGATAAGAGGATGTCTTGGGAAGCATGGGTTGCATGGGCTAGACTTTTGGTGATAAAGGGAAAGGAGAAAGCTTGGCCTAATACTTCTTGGGGCATCATCCACTTGGGTCTTATAAAGTGAAGAGTGTTTGAATTGGATAAGATTGATCACTGCTATGTTTCTTATTAACTAGTGTTATTCCAACTTAATCTTGAATATGACATGATTAAAATATCAAATAATGTTGTTGTATCTTGACATTTTGTCAAGAATATATCAGTGTACTATAAGGTTACCAAGACTATTTGGAAAATGTTTTGTCTTGCCAATATTCATGTTTTATTGAGTAGTTTTCAATAGTGAACTTGAACTGTTTGAGTAAATTTTAAATCATCTGAGTTTAAGCAAACAAAAATAGCTAGGTCCCAAGGATTATATCATCTTTTTCTATATATATATTGAGGAATTCCCCAAGAATATATATATATATATATATATATATATTATCTTCTTATCGAGTAATTGTGTCTATTCATTTAACTAAAAATTCACGAAAACAACAACATATATGATTATACGCCAAATAATATAACAGATACCACAAGTGTTTGTATGAAATCACAATCACACCAACATACATTCCTAAGTAGCGACCGAAATTAAAACCACAGAAACTTTGTAATTAAGCTGAAGGAAGGAAAAACTATAGTTTTAGCAACTGATGGATCAGTCTCATCTTTGCCGTAAAGGAATACGAAGACAACAATAGGCAGCCATGAGTATGAAAAGCAAATTTTCGCCCAAAAGAAAATAGAAAAGCAAATTTTCGTGCCTTTGTTGCTTTTTCTCTCATAGCCAACGTTTTCATAGAGGAAAAAAATTGATTATTTTGTCGTTAACAATTTAATCTCTTTTTTCCCCTGGACCACATTTAACACATCTAGACAAAGTCTAGATTAAAGTTTGTCAATCAGATTAATAAGAGATGAAAGACTGTTTCTCATTCACTCCTATTGTCCCATCTTAATTATGAAGATCTTGAATATGCAATAAATTTCAGCTAATATTGTATCTGGTCAAGAATATCTTAGTGTACCATAAGATTACAAGCTTATTTGGAAAGGTTTTGTTTGCCAATCTTCACCTTCATGTTTTATTGAAAAGTTTCCAACAATGAGCTTTAACATTTTGAGTCAACCCTCTCTTAAAAATCCTCTCTCATCCCATGTATAATGTTACATGTTGCTCTTGTATACCACTTTGTAGTATGCCAACGTTCACCTATTTATAAAATACATTATTTGGACAATACCCAACTAATAACACGAAATAATTGTTAATTTCTAATCTAGTACAGAATAGGAAATAACTCCTATTCCTAAACTCATACAAATAGAAAATTCTTTGGTTACTACTTCAAATAACTAAAATCAATAAGGAAACTAGTTACTTGCATACAAAATAAGAAATCTGCCTACAAGAAAAGTCAATTTCCTAACACTTGCTATTTGATACAAGTGCAAATGCATGCTAAAGCAATGAAATGGAAAATAAATCAAAGAACAAGAAAATCAACAAAAATAATGATAAAAAACCATGAAGTCGAAAACCTCCCAAATTAGTGTTCTCTGATAAGATTCATATAGAGTTCCCACACCGTTTCTAATTTTTGTATATTCAAAAGGAAATTACAGGACACATATGCACGCAATTGATCATTGTTTCAAGTAACTGTGCCATTTGTAACAAAGCTTCTTCTTCCTTTTTTCCTCTTCTTTTTTTTTTTAAACAATTCTACATACTATTAAAAATAAAATTTTCAATTGTTTGTGGTTCCTCCGGATTAGAATTGCTGACAAGCTTGAGATCAACTAAAGAAAGTTGGGGAATGTGTTTATGCTTCTTCTTTGCATATCTCACGACATTGCTTTCGTTTTGGTCTCTTCTAATGGGGATAGTTCCCTTAGGGCATATCCCATTTAATTGCCACAATCGAGTGATTGAATCATCCTGGCTATCATCTTCAAAATTGAATATTCCTTTCCTTTCTCCAGGTAATAACTGGGTCTCATCCGCAAAATCCAAGTAAAAATTTTTACTTTTGTTTATTTACATATAACTGTAGAGATTTTTCCTTGTCTTGCCTTAGAAAAGCTTGCCAAAATAGTATGATTTTTGAGTGAATGATGATCAAATGCCAGTTGATGATAGATACCAATGCAATCAATAACATCACCATTTGGGCTCTACCATTCGAAGTAATCATGCATCGATCTCTCAAATAGATGGAATCATACTTAACTTTTCAATAAATTATACAATTGAATACAGGATCAGATTACCAAAGGTGCAAACAAAAACCACACAAAGAAAAAGAAAAAATGACACAAGCACAAGCACAGAGAGTGATAGAGATCTGTCCACAAGATCATGAAGACAAGCATCCTACGAAAAAGGGAGGAAGTAAACTCATCACGGATCATAAGAGGGATAAATGGACTTGACAGGGATCTCCTTCGACTGGTTCAAGGTTTTCTTGACCAAAATCTTCTTGCTTAAGGCATCACATAAACTAATCCGTAACTGATTTAGCAATATAAAATAATGCAATATAATCCCTTCATTACCTTCAGACTACATGACTGCAAATCCGTAACTAATTTAGCAGGTTATTGGAGTTTATGGTAAGTCTTAATATCCTTGAAACTATCTGGTGTGCTTAGGGCTGCAAACGAATCGAACCGCTCGCGAGCCGCTTGAGTCAAGCTCGACTCGAGCTCGATCAATATCGAGCTCGAGTCGAGTTCGAGCTGGCTCAAGTCGAACTCGAGCTCAAAATATTAAACTCATGAGCTCGCGAGCCGGCTCGCGAGCTCGAGTATATATATATGTATATTTTTTTTATTTTTTTATTTTAAGTATATATATATTTTTATATTTTTTATTTTAAGTATATATATATTATATTTTTTAAATTTAATAGTAAAATTACATATATATCTTTAATATTTTATTATTTATTAAGAAAAAAATATTTATTTTATTTATTTTTTAAAAAGTAAAATAATTATTTTTTATTTTTTCAAGTTCAAACTCGAGCTCGAGCTCGAGTTTGAAATTGTCAGCTCGTCGAGCTCGAGCTCGAGTTCGAGTTCAATGAAATTATGTCGAGACTCGGCTCGATTAGACCAAAACTCGACTCGACTCGGCTCGTTTGCAGCCCTAGGTGTGGTAAACTAATTGTCCCATAATTGTGGAAGCTTCCATGAATACCTCCAAGTTATCCAATCCAATTTAGCATCTGCATTTCGGTCTTCTTTCAAGCCCATTAGGGTCAAAAAGTTTCCGCAAATTTGGGTCTAGATCTATTATATTCAGTTTAGGCCCACCCATTGAAATGCCTACATACTTTCTCTATAAAAAGGAGGGATAATTTTAGAAATCTCCCTGAGCTTTCTAACACTTTTATTGACATCCCCTGAGGTTCTCAAAATTTCATTGACCTCCCTTGATAGAAAATTGGGCCCCTTTGCTGACATCATGAAGGCAAAAATTACTAGTATGTCCGATGAAATTGGGTTTATTACTACTGTTTAGTTGGAGAAAATGGCATCTAAAGTAGTTAATTAAGCTTAACAACAATAACAAAAATTTGATGGCTAATGCATAAATTAAACCTGGATCAGTGAGGAAGCGCCAATTGAGCTACAATATTGGTGCCATTTTTGTGCCTGCTATGATTTGACAAGGAGATGGGATCATTTATGTGACATTCTAACCATATGAAGTACAAGGGAAGATGACAGGTGTCGAGCCTGTGCAATAGTAAATACTTGCTTAAATAAAATATAAATTTTGTATATAGTGGTAAGTAGGATCGAATTCACAGGGACTGGAAAAAATTCATTTCTTTTAAAGCCCAAAGTAAATGGGGATTTTTATAAAAATGGAGATAATTACACAACTCAAATAAAGAAAAATACTAAATGACAATTTATTAAAATTGAAGTAATAATAAATAAACTATAGCTAAGAAATAACTTCAAAAATGGTTTACTTATTGATTATTAATGCAGTAATAATTTCATTCACTCACTGATAAACAAGTTAGAACTGCTAAACACGCAATGACAATCAACTTTTCCTTACTGTATTGGGGGTTAAGGTACGATCGTCAACCACTTTCCTAATCAAGAAATAATTTTAGATATGACCTTATAGTTTAATTTCCTAATTGCCCTAAGAATTAGAGAAACCCTATTCTACCAAATAACATGCTATGAGGGTTATTTTAAATTAGCCCATATGTCCTCCTAATACAAATCCAATCATACCGTTGTTCGTCTTTTTTTCTTTCCAACTGAGGGCCACCAAAAACTTTTTTTTTCTTGTCAAGAATCCCCATTGAAATAGCTCTTTCAGAAGTACTAATCAATCCCATAGCTAACGGAAAACTTTTCCCATTTTATCTCCTACTTTATAGCTTTTTAAAAGCAGTAAACTCGTAAGTGGAAAAGGAAACTACCAACGATAATATTCAATGTTTCCTAACTAAATATTCTACTAACAAAAATAGGAATCTTTTTAATCTTCAACTAAAGTCTTACTCAGAGTTCAACTCGAATTAGGAAAGCTCCATGTGCAGGAAAATCTTGAGCCTCTCGAACTTGACAGCATGTCTTGACCGTGCCCACGTCAAACTGGTAAAGAGTTTTCTGGAAAATTGCCTCAATTAACCACTTTTGCTCCACTTTCCTATAATCAGCACCATTAACCAAATATACTTAGAATCTATCAATTAATACAATATTTGGCTAAAATCAAGGGAAAATAATCATAAATTTAAAAACAAAAATGGAACCTATCAGAAGAAATATATACAAGAGAAGAAACAGAGGAAAAAGAAGAAAAAAATTTGGAGGAAATTGTATTAAACCAGTGCTCTTGATATGTATTGGAGTAGCAGCAGCAAAGTGAAGAATTTTGTTGTTCTGAAATAGTTGCAACCATAGTGGTACAGATATGAATTTCTTTGTTACTTTAACTTTCCTTTATTGGTGTTGCTTGATCAGCCATACCACCTTTGATTGTTGCCTAAGTCTTGATATTGAACATTCAATTTGTTTCTTAAGTGGCTTTTTGAGTTGATCATTGACATTTAAGTCAAGACATTACATATTATGTGTGTTAACTGAAATTTTGAGTTGATCATAATGTTGAAATCTTGTGCTATACGTATGCTATGAAGATTTGTTGATCATAATAATTCTTATGTTAATGAAAGTTGAGTAGCCTGCTGCTGAGTTATATAACTAATGTTTCTAGTTTC